CACACACACACACACACACACACACACACATATACATAGACTGACACTATTGTTTTGCATTGCCTCAAGGTTGGTGATGTAAGAGTGAGCTTCTCCTATGCAGGACTGAGTGGGGAAGAAACCTACCCAGGGTCTGCTCAGATGGTGAGTACAGTGTTCCTCTCTAGATGGCCCATAGGTGGCAGTATGTATGGCGGAGAGTATTTATGGTCATGGTTTGGTATCTGTCCAAGTCAGTGTTGCCCATGTCCGTGGTCTTTCTTCAGGCCGGTATGGTCACTGTGTGTGTGCTCTCCAGGTGAGCGTGGTGGCCATGCAGAAGGATGGGCAGCTTGTGCCTTATAAGACCACATCTGGGGACCACATAGAGATCCTGTACCTGGAGGAGCTGTCTGCTCAGGTGAGGCAGCTTTCCGATGCCGTGTGTGTCCTGTGATGGACTGGCATCCTATTCTGGGTGCCCTCTGCCTTGTACACTGTGCTGCCCAGGATTACATCAGGGTTTGCTGTAACCCTGCATTTAAGCAGAGACGGAAAATAGATGTAAGGGTCTAGAAACTGCATGAGTGCAGAGTTTTGCTGTATTTTTAACACTTTCCACATAAAGGTGAGGAAAGGCACAGGTGTTGTGTCCCAGAATATCATTGTGGACCAGTGGCATTTCTCTGTGTGTGTAGGAGGTGTTTGAAAGAGAGCACCAGATGAACTCCATGAAGACCTGGGCTCTGAGGGCTGCTGGCTGGGCTCTGATGTTCTTGGGCATCAGTCTGGCCACACGCATCGTCCACACATTGGGTAAGCAGCAGCCCCAAACCCCCTCCCCCCCCCCATGGTGTCAATCATCCTATACACTTGCTGTAGATGGCAGTTTCATATAGGTATTGGAATAATATTACATGTGTTTGTAGATCTGTTTTCAAAATAGACATTTAATTCATGTTTAACTGGTTTAGAAACAGAGGGCAGACTTAAGCAGTTTCCAGCTGTAACAGGAGCTGCCCCATGGCACTCAGAATTGAGGTCATTTGCACACGTGTGCTGAGAGCAGCAGGTGAGGAACATGGATCAGGACAGTTCGTGTTAAATGACCCTGTGTTTCCAGTGGACTGGTTGCCCCTGGTGAGGGACGTCGTGAATATCGGCCTGAGGCTCTTCGCTCTCTGCGTTTCCTGCTCGCTGTCCCTCCTCACCATCGCTGCTGGTTGGCTCTTCTACCGCCCTCTGGTGGCCGGAGGAATCGCCGCACTGGCACTGCTACCAGTCCTCCTTGCTCGCTCCCGGGCCCCAACCAAGAAGACAGAGTGACTCTGAAGCCCAAACAGGGTAATTAGCCACTGATGTCACCAGCACCTCCCCATCTACAACTGCCCAGAAGGGCATTCCAAAGCCCAGACTGTTATTTGCATCCTTGTGATGCACTGTGACCTTTGACCCTTTCCCAAGGTTAAGCTTCAGCATAAGGCAAGTTCATGTCAGCTGTTCCGTTCAGAATTTGATTGTGTTTATGTTTTTTTTTATGGTGTGTTGCACTTTTCAGGAGTTTGACATATGCAGTAATTTGTTAAAGGAGACAATCTGTTGAAGGAGAAGTATGGAGATGTCATTTTTTCAGCTCTTTTCAGAGGCATAACTTTATTTGTGTTTTTTCATGGTAGACAGTTTCTATGGTGAAAGGTTAAATTATAGCCATTGTTATAGCATTTTAATTTAAAATAAAAGGTACGTTTCAGTGCAGGAACAGATCCAGGGCTTTTGGTAAACTTTGCATATTCATTTCTGCTGTAACTTGCACGTCTGTCCCTTTTTGTGTAATTGCAAATATTTAGTATAATTCTTATTCAAAACAGAAACAGCTTGTAGGTAGGGTATGGAACATGTTTTGCACATAGGAACACCCTGTCAGTCTCCATAAATGTCATTCACAAACAGCTGCTTTAGTTTTTCCAGTTTTTAATGTTATTTTAAAATATACATTAATGACAGACAAAAAAAAAACTTAAGGAAAAAGCTATTTACACAAGGTGCTGGATGCACAAAGACAGTAATTGCAGTGAGCACACCAGTGCCTCCCTCCACGCACACGCATGCACATTTGTTTAGACACTCGTCCCCACAAGTAAACATGCACGCATACACTCAGACAAGGACGGGCAGTTGGGTAAGTTTTAAAGGAGAATTCTTGTGCATTTGTATGACTGCATGTTTTCTGGGGGTGGGGCAGTGGGTGGAGTCTTATGCAGGCAGCCCGAAGTATCACTGGCTGTGGTCTGGTTATTACCGGGGAAACTGGTGCAGTGAAGTGCATCTCACTGGTGAGCAGCAAGGTGGGGCGGTATGAACGGCATGTCCATGGCTACTGGAACGACATCACCATGGCAACCAAAGAGGCATCACTTGTGTCAGGGTGGCACCACAGTGCTGATGCTATTTGCAGAGTGACTCCATGGCGTCCAGGGTGCGCTTGATGGCTCGGATCTGCTTCCCGAGGACGTGGATGGGCTGCATGCAGCGATCGAGCTCCTCACAGCGGGCCATCAGCGTGTACATCCCCTACATGGGACACCGAGGGCTTTTACATACATCATCACACACACACATCCAAGCATGACCATCCTTCAGTCCCTCACCTTGATGCTCATGTCCACCGCTTCCCCCAGGCTGTCCACAGAGTCTCTGTAGGTCTGGATATAGCCCACGCTAAGCGCCGTCATCTGAACACATAAACACACACACACACAAAGTTAGATGCTCTGGGTGTGAGTTTACAGAGGGTCACAAACTGTCACAAACCTTCAACCAGCTATTTTCAACACATTTTTTAACTAAATCCCAGCAGGAGTCATATACAGTACTGGACAAAGTCTTAGGCAAAGAAAATCTTTAAATGATGTTAATGATATTATGTCTTAAAGTATGCCAGCTCTCCTATAGTCACCTCAGTATTAGCAGCAACCATCCAATACACCCATGTATTGTTTTAACTATATATAATTTCCATATTTGTAATCAATATTTCATTGACTTTAACAAATTAATCAATTAGGTAAGCTGGTGATGAAATTTTATGAATATAGGGAAGGGCTGAGGTGCCCCGGAGGAGAGGTTTGGGAACTGAAGTGGTCTTTTAGTTATCCAACAAGATATCAGTAACTTTTTGGAGCACAGAAGGAATTCTTGTTGGTTCTTATTGTGTTACTCTTACATTTACATTTATTTTTATTTAACAGATGCTTTTATCCAAAGCATTGTACTTTTGCATATGTTCAAACTCTTTTGTTTTTTTTCTGAGCAAATATACACTTACTACCCAGATAAACGTTTCCTTGCCTGCCTAAGACTGTTCAGCACTGTAAATGTGACAGATTTATGGACATTAAAGTGCATTTATAGTGTTTCTATGACGACGGGTGGTAAGGAGATTCAGTAGTGCTTAGCGGTATGGGATGTCCCTCACGTTCTGGATGGTTCCATTGAGGCTGCGCATCATCAACTCCACACTGTGGGCCACTTCCTGCGTGTGCCTCTGCAGGTCCAGCAGCACACCGGGGTCGATGGGGGGGATGTCGGCTGGGCGCCGCAGAGAGCCCCGGCTCCGGCCCAAGTAGCTGGCTAGCAGTTCGGCCGAGATGTATATATTTTAGTTTTCCTCAGCTGGGTACCATACACCAGCATGAACCACCACTATTGCTCCCTGGATACTGGATTAACAGCGAATTTTCACTGCTTGGGATCTCCACAGCCTACCATTTCAGTATGAACACTGTAAACTTCTGCATCCTGCCAAATTCCTGGTATAAATATATATGACCAATGCACCTTATAAAATGTTTGCACCTTTTAAATGTTATGCTATTTATTTTACTCTATTTCAATGCCATTTCTTCATGTGATTCTTGCCTACTATCTCATTTGATTTTTCTTACAATGAAAGTTGACTGACAAAATCAAACATGATCATAATAAAGTTTATATTTTCCCCTTGTGTACCTTCCTGCCTTTACTTATGGGCCAGAAGACCCTCTATCATTAGAGTGCCACCCCAGACGCTCTTGCCCTCTTGGTTTTCCACCCAGTCCTACATCCCCACTCTTAAGGCAAACTCACAATCTAGGCTGCGTCTGGAGCTCATCTTGATCTTGTGCTCCAAGTTCCTGGTGATGAAGTGTGTTAGGTCTCCCTCGTGACTGACCGTGCCCTCCAGCTCCAGGGCGCTGGAGATGGTGGCCCTGCGGCCCTCAGGCTGCCCCAGCCGGCCCCGGGTCCCCGCACCCCCACACGCATGGCTGATCTCATCCAGGCTCTTGCTGTCCTGCATGCCACGCACGATGCGCTCACGCTCCGGCGGGTTCCGTACCCGCACCTGTGCCATCACGTGGGGGGGGCAGGGACCAGTGGGGCTTGCACAGCCCAGGGTCTCCGAGGCAGCTGGTCTCAGGGACAGCTGGAGGAAACAGACAGCTTAACTGACACATAGCCACACAAAAATAACTTTAACTTGTTTCCCAGAAATAAATACCCCTAGTTACTGAATGTAAACATTACCTCCTCTTCTGCTCCATCCTCTTCACCTGCTCTCATACCTTTATCAAGAAGGGGACACCCCAGAGTGTTCATGGGGGTAGAGTTAGTTGATGGGTGTGGCATCTCCAAGGCCCCTCTCACATACTGCCCTTCACAGTTCTGGACTCCATTCTGCGGGAGTGCTCCATCCATCTGTGCCCTCATTTTGCATTCAGCTGCGGTCCTAGGGATCCCCACCTTGCTCTTCAGGGGTTGCTGAGTGAGTGGACAGTCTTCAGCACTTGGAGGAGAGGGTTCTGGCGTTTCCATCCCGTTTTCTGCCTGCTGGAGGTTCATGCCAGTCCCTGAGCAGTGGCTCATCCCTAAGCCAGCTGAACAAAAACATGCCAACATCATCATCATTTTCACAAAATAGTTATATATTCCAAAATAATCAATAGCTAACCAACATCTACCTGATAACCATTTCACTCAGTGGGCCTTAATGATTTGTATTTGTGTAAGTTAGATGTTTTGTCAGTTATACCATTCAAACTGGTAGTCATTCAGACTCATTCAGTCATTCAGAATGGCATCTCTCGTATAAGACAACACAACCGTGTGAATGAATCAACTTCACTCTCTTATGGTGACAATGAATCCCTTCGCAAGTTTATTGAAGAAAACACTGACGTTAGTCGATTGCGCTTGTTTTCCTCTGATCTTACACACTATACTATTTACATATTTGATATTAAATAAAGTATTCACCAATGTGTTACAACAGCGATATGACTTCATAATTAAGCTAAACTAACGACACAGGATACAAACAGAACTGACGGAAATAAGTCAATAAGCAAGTGTGATGAACAGCTTGGTCTTGTCTCTGGGTGACATATTAACTAAGCATCTACATGAGCAACTTAAAAATCGAGCCATAACGCTCATGTCTACAGCGAGATGAGCTTACTCTGGTGTTTCCTTTTTCTAATAAAAATTGTTCAGCTCTTCCGTGTCCGCGGCACACAAGTTTAGGTTGATGCCATCGGTAATATCATTGCTAATGTAATCAGGCGATGTTTTATTTTAATAACAGCTAGTAGATTGCATTACTAAATAGCAAGTTACCGATAGCTACACAGGGTTCCAAATTAAAAGTTCCCAATTATGATATTTAGGCATACTGAATAAAAATGTCACTGGTCTAGATTAACTCGCTTGTTTTGAGGAAATCAAATGATGTGAGATCCCTGCGAAAAAATATACGAAATTACTCGGCAGGCTTTAAGGTAAACATAAAGAAACACCTAGCTACCACCGGAAGTCTTTTCTGGGTGAACGTTGCCAGGAGACGAAGTCCAACCTAAATAACTTCCGGAGAGTAACAATTTCTTCACAACATAATTCCGCTTTGGACAAACATGGATGTAGACCCGCTGTATGTTTTATTTAAATTTGAGCACCGTCACTTGCAAACTTCTACGAGTAACGTTAATTTGAACAAAAAAATCATTAAAGAACAGCATTTGACCCTTATATATGCATATGTGCCGTGAAATGTAACCTATCCGGAGAAGAAAACAGCGAGAGAGAAAGAAAACGCGTTCTCACTTTCTGTTAGAAAGAAGAGATTACAATAACACATTCAGTCGTAACTCAGGCTAACCATGCTTGAGATCATATTTCAAAAATTCTCAACGCACTGCAGGATATGCTAAGCAAGGCGAGCCGCTGCTGTATTATCAAGATCTGTGGATAATATTTGCAGAACCACCTATTAAATCAGTAGATCTATCTCTACTCTCTATGTTGTTTATGTCACACTAATTATAGGCCTACCGCTATGCCAACAAATACATAGGAATAGACCTGAAGCATATAGTATCGCCACCCTAGTTATAACACCACTTTAAGTTCGGATATTCAGGAATAAAATGCAGTTTAACAAGACACACACAAGATGGCGCCATAAGACTGTATTTCGGGTGCATAACTTAGGTTGGACTGGGTTTATTTCACGCGCTTCATTACTGATTCAGCCACGGTGGGGAACAAACGTAACAGGACCTAATGAAAAAGAATTAATATTTGAAATTATAAATCACAAATATCAAATGTAGCTACAAAGGTGAATACAAACTACAAACCTGTCTCGGCTATAAAGGAGCCTAAATCAGCACTTTGATGTGAGTTTCCAAAGCGACACAAAGCAACTGAGTTCTAAACAATCTAAAGGGCTGGTGCATGAATTGCAGGTGCCTTGGTCACAAACACTGCAAAAATAATTTAATCTTTCAAGGGGAATAATCTCAATAACCCTGACAAGATATGAAGCTGGGGAACAATCGTCTGGTAGGTGAGGAAAAAAGACTACTTGCTGGTCACCCACACAGTCCTTCAGTTCCGGTTCCACCTGTTCGGCCTGAACTGGAGTGAAAATGCACGGAATTTCCAGTTATTCCTTTTGGGAGACCTTCCCAGTCCGAATAACTAGAAATCCCTTGCATTTCCAATGGTTCCTGGGAAAACAGCAAAATATTTCTGTCAACGAAAATGTCTTACATTTCATTGTGAATAATGCTTTTATTAAAAACATACAAACCATATAAAATATAATGTATAAAAGAGATACCAAACTGGAATTAACCTGCAGTAAAAATGACCCCAGGGATGTAGACCCTCTGGCACAGCAGTACCTTTTCAGGACGATGCCCGCCTTGGTATTGGTGCCTGCCTCTGTATCCAGCTGCACACCGTGCATGTCCTGGATGCACCTGGTGTGGCGTTTCTGCACCTACCAGATATGCTTCCTGCGCATCTGGTCCAGCAGCGGCACCCCCCTGAGGTCTCTCCCCTTCCGCCCCTCCAGTTCATGCAGCAGCTTTCACTGAGGTGGATGGCGGCCCCCTCGCCACGCGTCCGCCTGCAGCAGTACTGGCTCAGTTCCTTCTTACTGAATCTCTTGTCCACCAGGAGATCAGTAAGACCTGGTACACCCTCCTACCTGAGCTGCTCTCTCTTCGCCCGCCACAGCAGAGTGAGGTCCCCTGCATCCCACCCAAAGATGCAGGCAGACAGGTGCCCATGAACGTGTGGTAGAGGGGCTGAGCTTCGATGCAAATTCACTCACAACACCTACACACAGTACCATGTTGGGGAGGGTCTTTTGGGGTATAAAGGGGGGAGAAGAACTGCCCTTAATTTGTATCTGACCTGCTTTTCAGTACCCGGTGTATGTCTACACTGTATTATATTGTATTATTTTTACTGTTCAATAAACCATCGTTTTGCTGAAACTAAATTCTGCAAGTGGATTCCTTACAATACTCATGAGTACAATACTGCACTGATTAAATGTTTATAGCATTCAGCTACAGTGAAGACGATTAGTAGCTGTTATACTTAGGTTCAGGTGGCCTAATAAATTACATTATTCTATGTGTACTTCAAATGTATGTCATTAGCTGACTAGACAGATAACTAGTTAATATTTACAGTAAAACAGTAGGTACCCATAATAGCTCTTGCCAACAAGTGAATGTGAACCTGCATTGACCACTGTGACCCTGCAGCCAATAAGCACATATAACGTTACACACTTAAAATATTTTTGTAGAGTAATTTTCAGTGTGCAGACATATCGGCGCCTGTGACCACGTTTTTACTTATTACCGGTGGGTGCTTGTGACATAATGTTATAAGTTTAAACTCTAAGATGCAAAGTTTAATAATCACCGCACATAGCATTTCCCGACATGTTATATGGGTTACTACCGAATAGACAGAATATATACTGTCCCTTATCTATGTTCATGCGCATGAGTAAAGGGTGGCTGCGCATCCCCGATCGAGGATGTTTTAGCGGCGCATGTTTTCAGATGTTGAATTAGTGTAAGGTCGGAATAAAGAGACCTGTTTTTTTTGGCACCGAGTTTGTGTCAGTTGCCTCTTTCCTGTTTTGCCGCACCGCTCCTCCGCAATGTACTCATCATTTCTTGTGGAAGCACAACCACCCAAGTACCACAGAATCGGACACTTCTCAGCAAAGTCATATAATGACAGAGCAAGCTAATTAATTAATCGTCACTAATTAATTAGAGTGAAAATAAAGACATTTTATCAGTGACTTTGATAATTGTCCTGCATGCAACGCACGATGCGCTCACGCTCACTTTATTATGATCATGTTTGATAATTGTAAATTGGAATACGGCAGCTTGATAGGCCGTGCAGATTGGAATACCATAGTGTGATTAGACAACAAGATTTGAACTTTGGGCAAAAGGGGGTGTGTTTTGGAATTAAGTTGTAGCAAACTTATATGATATGTATACAGGCTCATTATGGTGGGTGTCATGAGACAACAAATATTTGGTACAGTTCTTAAAATAATGCTATAATGTAATAGCTTGTAAAGTTTAGTCAGAATATCTCAGAGGCGTGCATTTAACGAAAATGTTTGTGGAATTTGATAGCTACTTCAGTGTATGATGGGCATGATATGTAGCAGCAACTTAAATTTCATCATCCGCAACTGCTGCACCTGGCGTAGGCAGGCCCTAGGTATGAGTTTAGAAAGGGTGGGGGGGGGGCATGGTTCATATTTGCTTCAGGAGCCAATGTACAGTTGTTCCGCCACTGAGTGTGACACAGCTGTCCTAACCTCTGTGTCACTGTGCCACCACATCAAGGTGGTCAAGCGGATAAATTATATACATAAAGTATTATGCCTAGTGCAGGTGATGTGCACAGTGCATTGCAGTGTGCTAGCAAATGGTTAGATTACCGGGGAATGGAGATGGAAGAAAATAAAATTTAAAAGTCAGTCATAATAGATTAACCTCTTGTTGGAAGGGAATGTTTGGGAAGCTCCACACCCAGGGTGGGAGGCATCAGCTGCCATCTTTGTTGCTGGCTTTGTGGTCCCAGAGGTGTGCAGGTCCTGAAGTGATGGCAGACTGCAACCAATCACCATTAATAATGAGCTTTTTCCTGATTCGTCCCTCTTAGTGGCAGCAGCGAACCAGACGGTGATGGAGGAGGTGAGGATGGACCCATTGGTTGCAGAGAAGAAGTGCATCATCATAATTAGACATGATCCCTTTGTATGAGAATAGTTTTAATGAGTGAAGCTTAGGCTTATGGCAGTGTGCCACATTTTGAAATATAACTTTCTAATATAATTTCATTTAACTTAATATGTTCAAATAGCATTTTCATCTGACAAGTAGGGGGTACAACAGCACTCTCTGCACCCCCGGTAAAATGCCATGAGTTTCCTGGGATAAATGGATAGATGGATGGATGGATGCATGGATGGATGGATGCATAGACAGATGGAAAAACATTTTGCAAAATGGGTAATTTGTAGTGTTGCAGTACTCAAGACCGGTCTTGGCCTCGAGACTTCTTTTTTGCAGTCTTAGTCTCGTCTCAGAATCAACTTTATTTTGACTAGGTCTTGTCTCAGTTTCAGTTATTACATACAATGTAATAAGCCTAAAATCAAATGGATAGAAAAATGCTCAAAAATGAATTGGATTCTAAGGGTTAACACTGCCATGGTCTTGGTCTTGTCTCGATCTCACCCTGCCTTGATCTTGGTCTTGACTTGGTTTCGATACACTCTGGTTTTGGTGATGACTTGGTCTCAGTTTAGGTGGTCTTCACTACATCACTTGTAATTTGTACCTATATGAATCTAAACATTTCCATGATTTAGCCTTTGTTTTATTGCAATTACATTTTTACGAAGCTGAACTTCTGTTATTTTGGTTCTTCAAAACAAACTACACTTCTTACCAGTCAGTTTACAGCTGCAACAATGTGATTACACTTCTTTTAGGAATTTTTGTTGTTTTCTGTTATGGAGCATCAGCTATGACTGTGGGGTTTGGGGCCATATTCCTGTATTAATGTATTATTTTGGAAATTAAGTGTCAGTATGTATAGGCCTATAAACTAATAAAAACAAGAATCTCGTCTGATTTTGATCACTATATCTGGTATCCAGCATGACTTTTAATCACAAGTGCGATCAGATTACCATCCATACCAAAGAATATGCCCATGTCTTAAATGGCAGTACATATTGCCCCTCTGTTGCATCATAAAGTGACGCATTAGTCATGAAAAGCCTCACTGGAAAATCCTTCGATGTCCGAAACTTGAAAACATAAGTTCATTGTACATGATTCATTGTAAGTGAATACCCTTTATATCCACAAATCACCAAATCGTTACGGAATAAAATGTCTGTTAAGGATTTGCCCCTGTTACTCGCCTCTGCGGCGGTTTATTGAAATAATTCGAAGGGCAGAAAACCCGAATCATCTCCGAACCGGACGTCCAA